TAATTATTTTTTTATAAACTTTTTTCTATGGGTCTAACGAAAGAATCAATATTTGTGCTTGTCTCTATGATAAATGTCTAATCGGAAAACAGTTTTCTACAATTGATTGAGCATCCTACCGACTTGTTTGCACTTGAAAATATGAGCAATACATACATCAATAAAAAGTGAAAATACTAGCGAAATATGTTAAATTTATACCCTGTTGTGACAATGCGATGGACATACATAGATTAAAGAAAAGAAGAGAGTGATTGACGTATAGTAGATGTGTAATTTTTTTCGTATTTTACCTTTTTTATCGTAAACACAACCAAAACATAGATTATGAGAATGAGTAATAGGCTATTTATGAAAAAAGAAAATAACTTGAATTGACGTGTTTAGCATTTGTCTGATTCACGAAGTATTTTCACATTGTTAGAATGATTTTTGATTGAAATCACTAAAACTATGGATCAATTTTCTAGTTTGGTTAATTCAAACAAGTTAACATTGAAGATCTTATCATGGATTGATTCCAATGTGTCAGAAAAATCACACGAAATACTGCTCTCTCATATTTAAATCTATATGAATAGAAATATCTATTCAATCGACTATATTTCTAATTAAACATTGTAAAAAAAAAACAAATATATTTTGCATAATTTGATGATATTTTATTATATTACATCATAAGAGCATCTTTCGTCGATCGTAATTCGATTTGAAACATTGAATAATGTTCATTAAATTCTCTATGTTTAACATGGAATTCTCATTAGATAATGATTCACTTGTCAAATTTCCAATATATTATTGAAGGAAAAAAAACAAAGATGACAAGTTGCAACATGCATCACTTATGATTCTATGTCAAATATCTTACCATGATGTAATGAATATTTTGTTACAATTCAGATGCTATACTTTTCCACAAAGAACAAAAAAAAATGGAAAGATATGCTTAAAAATAAACATAGGAGGAAACAATTTTTATGCTTTCATCAAAGATACACGATATGTATTTTAAAACAACAGAAACAAAGGACATATTCAAGAAATATAATAAACAACAATTCAATAACTTATGTGAAGGGTGGATATGGATATACTTCATCATCTGATTCACACTCGCACCCACACCCAAAACAAACAAAAAAAAACTTTCAATCAAAAATCATACAAGGATAAAGAGAATATATGTCACAGACAAAATAAAACTTCGGTAGTGTTTATTTTTAATTAGACTCAAAACTATACATCAATGTTCTTTTATTTAAAAATAAATTTTCATTTTTGTTTGTATTAAGAAAATATCAAACAATTGCTTTTTTTTTACTAGACTGAATATTCTCATTTGTTCTCACTATTATGTAAACATCAATTACCTCTTTTTCACATTTTTTAATATTTTGAAATCTTTTACAACTCCGTTTAGTTTTGCCTAAATCTCAATTTTGTCTGACATGTGCATACCAAAAAATAATGTTTTTATGACAGTGTTTCATTTCTTCATGTTGATAGAATTGATAAAATATTATCGACTGATTCAGGATTAAGACTAATACTTCTTTCTTCAGTAATATCTTTGATGAGTACAATATATAAGGATAGTAATTAGAAAGATGCTTTATATAGATACTATTTTTTCCAACCTACAAACATCCAAGAAGATTCATATATTTTGTCAGTGAGTAGATCTACTCGAGTTAGGTACATATCCAAAATATTAGACTTCTATCTGCTCGCCTGAGGAAAAATAGCAATGCTACATTTTTCCAATTTTTGGCTTTATAATCGAGTTTTGCATATTACTCATTCCACGTAAGTCACGACCGGACATGTTTCATCGAGGCCATCAGGTTTTCTTCAAATTAAGATATTGTTGTGAAGGCAGAGTTTTATAAATTTGACGCAAGCCGCTTTGAATAATATTGAACCCTTGAGTTCTTATGTATGTTTTACGAAAAGCCCTAAAAACCTGTATTTCGACGAATGGAGGTCTTGACGAGACCATATCTTAAGAACAAATCAATGGATTGAGCCGAATTTTTTTGTGGACATATATTACTATGACTTCTACTCAGGGTTAAGTTTTCAACGCAAAATATGGATCCCTTAACTTTTTATGATTTATTCAATATGAGTGAAAATTCACAATTTAGACAACTTTGGTACTTCATAACTCGTGATAGGAATTAGTTAGAGGTCTGAAATTTTGGATTAGGTAGGAAACAGAAAAGAAAAACGTCGAATAGAAAAATGCTGAAGAAAAAGCAGGAAAATATAGAAACTGTATAACGGCAAATGAGATAAATAGAAAAAAGAAAATTTGGAAAATTGAATTATTCAATAGCCCTAACAATTAGAAGAATTTTATTTGTTTGTATAATAAAGGACAATAAAAAAAGAAAAATCTTACTTTAAAATTTTATTTTGAGGTGGGTGTTGATTAAAGAAGATTCACACCTACACCCACACCTTTATTTTCAATATAAAACTTAAAGGAAATCAAAAAAACTAATGAAAATTTCATTTATCAAATATCAGAGAAAGTAAGTTGATCTTTCAAAAGTTTTAGCTGGTTGATTGTTTCATCTATTCAGACACCTCAGAAGAGGTATTTTCAGCTGCAGTATGTACCACTGCATTTCAAAACACCAATTAACACTCGATCAACTGAAGTTTTTGAAACTTAAGCATACTATCTCATGAAAGATATGTAAGATTTTTATTAGTTTGTGTAGTTTCATTCGAGTTTTATACTGGAAATAAGATTTGAATTTTGTTTTTTGATATTCATATTTTTGTAGAGCTTGCTGAACTTTATCGAACCACCTAAAAACACCTATTATAAAACATGTAGAAAATAATATTTGGCTCTACTATTAACAACTCAAATATTAAATTTTTTTTGTAAAAAAAGTAAAGTGAAAATTTTCACTCAAGATTAGTAAAATGACCATAAGATTGTAATAAATTTATGTATTTCGTAGTAGGCTTTTGTCAGATGATAGCTCTAATCTTCTTCTACAAAATGTCAGAATTTGATCAATAACTTCATGTAAGTTTGTTATAGATATCATCGATTTACTGGAAGGAATCGAAACTTTTGGATTACTCTTTAGTAATTTGAGACCTTTTTTTAAAGGTATAATAGATATGCACAACATGTTTATTTGTGAGTTAAACTAATGGTTAACAATAATGTACAAATTGAAAGCAAACAAGCAAAGAATAGAGCGTCAATAAAAAGTGGAAAAAATTCTGATTTAAAATGAAGAAATAAATAAGACAGATTTCTTGTCTCACGATCAATATCATGTGAAACAACGGTAATCTGCGAGAGATTTCTCATTCTACGTATATTTCATTAGTATAATGAAGCCAAACTATTCAAGTGACTTGCGTATTTCAAATCGAAAGGAACTGCACTAACAGACTTTGTTTTTTAGCTTTTTATTTTATTAATTGGTTAATTAAAATAGGTTGATTATGGTAAATTTTCTTCTGCTCATTATTATTTATAACTACTCTATAAATTGAGATGTATTCGAAAATAATATTTCCTCCATGGTTGTTTTTATATGCTGAACACTGGATAATTTATTAAACAGGTTTAAATGCTTTAAACAGAATAGTTCAAGTTTTTATTTGTACCTATTTTAAATTGATCAATAATTATTTCTTTCAAACTATTTTGTTTCACTGATCATGTACTATTAGTGACCTAAATCCATTTAACTGTATGAAACTTTCGGTACAGGACCGCGTTTTTCATCCTTTAATGAGTATGTTCCATCCAATTAACTAATAAGAAATATAAATGTCAAACATTTGTTTCTGAAAAAAACAGTCAAATATCTTATGTAATGTAGGACATACTCAATGTAATGAATAATAATTTTTTTTTAGAATTCAATCGATGAGACAGATAACTGTATGTGTGAAATTACTAAGAATAACTTCGTTTATAAGAATCTTGTCGCTGTTCTAAGTTTTAGTTTCTTATAATTAAGCCACGCACATAGATTCGTTGAAACACTTCATTACATAGCCACTGAAAATTTGCTATGTTGAAGAAACTTATTTTAAGTGATTTTCTTCAATTTCACAGAAACAAAAATGCTGATGCTTCTTTGAGAATTCATTTGTTAATTGACTCTTACATAAATATTTATTATATATTATGTTTAAATCTCAATGTGCTATACTATTCAAATACATCTATAAAAATTATTAATAATAACAGGATCGATAAAGAACGATGCTTCATCTTATATCCACGTGCGAATATCATATACCATTATTATATAAAATGCTTTTTTTTATTGTGTAACAGAACGAGTTGACGGTGAGATATAACGTAGAAATCAAGCTTTTTTCTTGCTCGTTCTCTTGCCTTATGTCAATCAAATACTAAATTCTTATCTTTTGTTATATGACTCGCCCGTGCCCGTGTAAAATAATCTGCTATAAACTATAATATATAATCGTAAAAAGTTACCGAACATGTATTTACTGGTTATAGTATTGTTAATAAACTATGCTCATACTCAACAAAGTGTTTGTTCATGTTCTTGTTGCATTGGTCAATCCTGTAGCCCATCTATTCTTGCTCCTCTTTACATACAATCATGTACGATAGAGACATGTCGTCTGCAATGTCGTGCTGTTTATTTTCAATGTCAAGCAGATTATCCTAACGGTCAAATTGCAGTACAATGTTTATCGTATGTTAATCCTTTGTACAATTGTCAATGTGCTTGTTGTAATACTGGTTCTGCTACTTGTACACCATCTTTTGTTGGTTATAGTACTGCATATGTATGTCAACCAGGTTCCTGCAGCATTTCATGTGCTACACAGTATCCAAGTCAATGTGTATCGAATCATAATGGACAAACAAATGGTGTATGCACTGGCCCCATTACAACAATCACAACAACAATATCGACAACGACAGTTAGTAGATTAACTAATAGTCCATCGATAGGTTATACTTGTTCATGCATGTGCTGTCAATCAGGTCCTAATTGTTCACCAAATATCGGAGTGGGCAACGTTATAGCATCACAATGTTCGTCATTGGCTTGCACATCAGCATGTCAAAATCAACATCCAGGAATTTGTCCATCGATAGTTGATTTGGGCCAAACTAATGGTATATGTATAAGTCAAAATGGAGGAAATATACGTTGTCAATGTCAATGTTGTGGAACGAATGGATGTTCAACTTATGACATTAATACAAATGGAAATTGTGCATCATGTTCTACATTATGTCAACAACAATCACTTTGTGGTAATACAAATACAGTGACATTCACTTGTAATTCAAATCCATCAAAAATATCACTAGAATTTTCTCTGACATTGATTGTTTTTATATCTATTATTGTTTTAATATAAAAATAATTTTTAGTTACTCATACACATACAACTATTTTGGTATTTGACTTGTAACTATTGATTTCTTCACATACACGATTGATAAACAAAAAGAAGTCGAGTAGAAAATAACATTTCATCTGAAATGGTTTACAAAAGTATGAAATTTGAAACATCAACTATTCTATACAAAGAAAATTATACTCAATAGAAAGATGCTCGCAAAATTTCTTTGATACAAAAAAGAATGAATAAATTAGTAGCTCATGTCGTGTTTTTCTATGTTTCTCTCCTTAGTTTATGTTTTTTAGTGCACGTATACAGTATATTCGATTGACTTCCATAAAAATACAAAAGCATTATAAAAATGAAGACCAAATTCTCCATTCATCGCTATGTGAAGGAAAACACAATGGTTTTGATAACACTCATATTTTTTTTACAGATAATCGATCTGTATTTTCACAAATGTTCTTGAAATTTGAATGACAAGCAAAAGTCACAGGATAGAATCATTATTTATTGATGTTTCGAAGATGTATTACACGACAGTGGTCAGTTGATCGAAACCAGAACTCTTAACGAGAAAGAGCACTATTCATGAGGAAAAAAATTTCAGAATGTCGATTCAATATCATCCATAATGGAATTTTAGCTGCTGTTACACATAACAAATGACATGTAAAAGAAATCCAAGGAATCTATACTTCTTAAAAAAATAAATATATTTAGAATTTTCTGAAAATACTTAGTACGATTAATAAAACTGAAAGTAATAATAAAGCCGTTCTATTCAAGAATGTCTGACAGTATGAAGTTGTCTTTCGTAAAATACTTATGACGATTTATAACCAGTTCAAATGAACAACGAAGATCGTTTTATTGTCTTATGTCAAAAACACGAAATAAAATATAATTAGTCAACATTATGAAGATACGTTGATCGATGAATTCGACTCTGCAGTCAAGTTGGTTCAATAAAAGCTCCAGAATATTTCTATATAACCATAATAGTCAATATTAAGATTAGGAAATTACTTTTATGTTATTTCTTACCAAGTATAATAGGTATGGAAACGAAAAATTTGTGAGTTGATCAAGAAAACGATACCTTGTAGAAATAATAATACTTTATTAACTTTGATCAAAGTTTATTGACTTTAGAGAATCTATGTTTCCATCTGATTTCTTTAATGAACCAGAGTCCTGGAAGATTTCCTTTCCTAATTGTAGAGACAAAGCATGATGCTTCTCAGAACATATGCAAGGCTATTTTTCATAGTCTCTGAATCGTCTAGGGTAACGCTATGTACTATTATTACAAAAGGAGAGAAGATATTTGTTAAAATCCGCCCGGCTACGGAAAAAACATTTCTCCGTCAATCATATTTCAGCAGAGATTTTCTCTGAACTGAGCAAGACTAGGCCACACTGAATCTTTTTATGATAAGTTATTACCGATGCAAAGTAAAGTGATTACACACGTTATGTCTTACATATTTTTATATATGCCTGACCGTTCATTATTCAGACAAAATACACACCTAAAGAAAAATGATCGTCTCTGATCAATAATTTTACATTATTTTCAGTGAATGTTGTTTTCATCGTGTCTGCTTTCACTTACGCAATAGCATAAAGAGAAAGCTTATTATAAAATGTATACATATTCCTTCAATTCATTGGTTATTGATATTGTATACAAATCTGTGCCATTAAAACATTCATGATATGAGCCCTGTTGAGTGATGATTTTCAGTATATGCATGCGGATATGATCATAAAAATTTCTAATCAGAAACTTTAAATGGTTTGTATGAAAGTTCTTATGAATAAAGAAGCGATTGAAGCAAGACTTTCGTGCTAAGAACGAAAATGAATATTCAATTTCGCTGAAGTTTATTGTAAATCGTTAAATCCTGTTCATAAAATTTCATACAATATTTTATTATTTAGAACAGAAGCTTGCTCGATATTGAAAATTTCTCTCCGAGACATAGATTTATTATTTGTCAAATTTTAACTCATTGAATAATTGTACTCCATATTTTTCGAGTGGCAACGTCTCATGTTGAATTACGTCCAACAAAAAAAATGTGAAACTATATAGGCTCTTGCTAAAAAACTTACTACTACCATTGAAAAATTTCAATAAATCCAATCTTTGTACAAAAAAGAGAAAAAATTATATCAAAAATTGTCTGTTCATTATCCTCTACTTTTGACATTGTCTTGAAAGAATTTTACAAACCAGATTCATTAAAGACTTACTTCTGTGTTTTATACTATAATGACAATAATTTATTCCGATTATTAGAAAAAAATTAATTAATTAAGTTTTTACGCTTAGCTCACCATAAATTAAAGGAGAAGCTAGAAAATTAATAAATGAAATCATTTACAAGCACTTATGGTAATGATATTATTTATTAGCAATGATAAGTACATAGTCCACAACAACATAAAATTTGATTATCACAATGAATATCAAATATTTAGACGAAAAATGAATCAATTACAATTACATATGTTGTTTTAGAAGTAAATGTATTAATGCAAGTATTAAGCATAATAATGTCAACCTTTCGGATAATTGTTAGATTCACTATTTGAGATAATAATATGAAACTTATTGTCATTATTAATATTACGAACTATGAACAATACACATATCAGATTGCTTGAAATAAAATATTAATTGGCTTGGCGAATTTATGTGTGACAAATAACGGAACAACTGTAATTCCAAGATTTTCAATATCTCAAAATAAGAAATTTCTTTTTTTCTGAACAGCATCTAATATTTCGAACAATCATTTTTTCTCTTGTTAAATTTTCATTAATAATTCAACTTCATCGATAGAAAAATATATCTCAATAAATACCTGAGTTTAATTCAATATCTACAGGAATCAATCGTAGAAGCCTCATGAAATTCGCTATCAAATCATTAGTATTCGATGCCATATATTCCTATATAAAGGCGCTCAAAATTATTCGTACAGCTGACAAATAACCTTATTCTTCTGATATTTTTGCAATAATTCGACCTTTCGGGTTCCGGTTTTCATCAAAATATAGCTGAAATTAACCATATATTTGATATTCTTAAGGTAAAAATTTTAAAAATGTAGAGTTTTCTGTTCCCCTCAAAATTATTCGTACATAATTACATATGAATCTCTCTATTGAATATAGTTAAATATAACCAGTAATACTATAATGTGTTTTTTTCTAGTATCAAAGCAAAAAGAAAGCTGATGAATTTATTTTCTTGTATTATTTTATTACGATCAAGTTAAAAAGCCCTGGTTGTTTATTCATTGTGTTGTAAACGATTCTCAACTGAATCAACTAATGATTCAGCTGCATCGTGTTCAATTTAATTCTATTCATATAGCAATATTTGTTTCAGCTCATATTCATTTTTCAGTGGCGCATGTTGTCGTATTTGTTGAAAAAGTTCGGGTGTGTAAGTGTGCGTATGTGAGTATGAATAAGATACAAGCATTGATACAGACATCCACCTACATTCACTCACACTCTTTTTTTTTAAGTTCCACTGTTCATTCTGTCAAGAGTCAATTAATGATTTTGAAGAACGACAGGAAGATCAAACAATTGATCACTTTCAGCTAAGCTATTTCACCTAAATATAGAAAAAATTTATTCGATAATGTCATAAATTGCTTCGATTGAAGAGAAAAAGAATTAAAAATTCATGTCCTTTTCCAGATAACTTTCCAATAGCGGTCATGTGATTAGAGAAAGGATGGAATTCGGTTACTCGATTATTCTTTCTTTCAAACTCTGCAGAAAAAAACAGCTATATATCTCGGGCGTGAAACATAGCGCGAGATTTATAAATATTCAAGAGAGAGAGAGAGGTGAGATATGAGCGTTTATATTGGGTCTATATCATATGAAGAAGACAGAGAAGAAGTAGGATGCTCAAATGCACAGATACACGAATTATTTTGAATGGAACGAAAACTCTACAATTCTAATGTTTTTACCTTAAGAATAGCCAATATATAGTTGATCAAGATGAAACTTTCAACAAATATATTACAAAACTTCAGTTACATTTTGATGAAAATTGAAAACTCGCAAGGTCGAATTATTGCAAAGACATTAGGATAACAAGGTTATTTGTCAGCTGTACAAATGATTTTGAGCGCCTGTGTATATGAGTGATGATGAGAAAGCAATAGAGAGAAAAGGAAGCAAGCAAGTCTCCATCTTGTCTCTCTTTACTTTTACGAACGCATGAATTGTCTTTGATTTTAATCGTGTATTGTTTCTGCTTACCTGTTTCATCCTATATCTTATACGCTATTCGACTTAGCCAAACGTAACGTTGTATCGTTTTTGACACACTTTTTTACTTATATTGGAAGGTTTGAGAGCTAGAAAATTCACCCGAACGCCATGTGACGCAACTTATCAAACTATTTATGATATAAGAATGACTTTTTTGGCTGAAGTCTTGATTGTTCTTTTCTGTATGTGTAATCGTTCTAAGAAAGAGTCAAGTTGCCACATCAAAACAGGTGCTCATAAACTCTACAGTAAGTTAGGAACTGTTCAAGAATATTTAAGTTGTTATTCGCATTGAAAGTCAAAAATAAATTGGCTATTTTGGAGAGGATTAAATTTCGCATCAAATGGTATATCATTCAACATTTTTTGAAAAACTCACAGTTAGAAAAATTAAAATACGATTTTTGAAAAGTTTAAAACTCAGTTTTCGATACCAAAACACAATTAAAAGTGAAACAAATGTTAAATTCGTAGCACGCTTGATAAATGGCACCTAAGAATGCATTCAGATCTGTCCAAATTGAAAAGATTTTTTTCAAAAATTTGATCAGCAAAATGTCCCGTTACATGGAGGAGCTGCATTAATTTCTTGTAATTGATATGAATTTATTTTCCATTAAGAGTCGTCACGTTAGTATGTTTTTCTCTTCTCTGAGATCGCAAATATCCAGTGAAAATTTTTAGCGAATAAAATCGAT